TTTATAAAGTTTTCTCTGAGATCTACGCTCTTTATTATCTTTCATATACTCGGCTAATCTTTCCTTAAGCTTTTTTCTAAAAGCAAATAGCATATAATAATTTCTTGATTCACACTTTCAATTCATTCTTCAGCCTTAACAATTGCACTATATAAATCAGAAAAATTACTTGAGCTTGTGATAGATTCAGCCTGAGAAGTGGTACTGCTTGTTGAAGAACTTGGTGATTTCAGCTTCCCAATAAGTTTTTTTAACATAGATACATTTTCGTCTTTAGTCTTTACTTTCTTACTAGATAATTTATTTTCAGTGGTATCTTTACTAGGTCTTTTACGGGATTCTTTTTCTAAAGGGATAATGCTTTGGTCTGTTGAACGATTACTTTTACCATCTTCATTATCATCTACATCCGACATATCTTCTTCTATAATTTCTGGCAAATCTTGAGATTGGATACTATGTTTTTCCATTCTTCTAACTACTGATGATGTACTTGATTCAGAGTCTCTTCTATGCCCTGTTTCAATAATTTCAACCTCCTCACTACAACCAGAAAATGGACACATATTTGGAATTGTAAGTAAAAGTTTTTTTTCAATACAAAGTCTATGAAACACATGTTCACAAGATAGTGTTGTAAATGCCTTAAGAGGAAATGAAATAATTTCTTTCCCACATTCTGAACAATTACTTAGATTTGGAATTTTTTTTCCCTTAATAATATCATCCTTGAAGGTTTTTAGAATATTATATGTGAGATTTTTGATGTTATTAATAGGAGTAGATGGTGTAAAAGTAGAAGTGGTAGACATATTTCAATTATAACCAGATAAGTTTTACATAACGAAATCTCTTATACTTTGCTTATTTTTATAGTTTATTCTTCACGACTAACAAACCTAATTTGCAGATTTTATAAAATCTCATTTTGGATTTGGCAATCTATTCATTCAGAATTAATTAGTATAGAGGAATCGCTTGATCTTTGCTGGCAATCGTGGATAAAAAATTTAGCTTAAGGGTAGACCCAAAGGGTCATTGCTCTGCAATATGTGTGGTTAGTGAGTTGGTTAGTACTGAAATAATTCTATGCTGATCTCCGATTCATAGATTTAAAACACATGATATTACTTCCTTGAGGCCCATTATAACGTAATGTGATTTACTTTACTTTGTGTCTATATATAAGATTATCAAGCTCAATAATTAACTTTACCTTTTACTTTACACTTTTGAATAGGGTGTTTCTTTACTGCTCTAGTCTTATGCGCATATGTAACTTCTATTTCTGAACTAGATGTGGAAGAATTACTTGAATCGCTGTCTGAAGTGTCTGAATTAGAAGAAGCATCTGTGGAATATTTGACATTATTTTTCTTACTCTTATTTTTGAAAACATCATCATTTAATCTTCTGGATGGTAGATGTGTAGGAAGTATGTTGCAAAGCAATGACCCTTTGGGTCTATCTCCAATATTTGAGAGAATTTTGTTAATTATATTTATAACCTCTTCTTGAGCTAGACCAGGTTTAGATTCCATTGATTTAGATAAATTATTTTTAGTGAAGCTGGCTTTGTTAAAATCTTCATCAAATAACAGGATGCTCATACCATCTATTACAATTTTAGCATAGTGGACATGGGTTTTGGGAGAATGTCCAAAGCTTATTTTTGGTTCATGCATCCATAACCAATCTTGCCCCAATACCAGATCGAATAATGGATTTTTGTGAATTTGAAAGTCTATTAGTTCAGTATCACCTAAACTTTGCCACTTTCTTTTAATGCGAAACTGTAAATCTAAGCTTTTTATTTTTTCGCTTATTAGATCATCATTAACTATACCTTCTAATCTGTGATCAGATTTAAGCTTATCAAATAAGTGTTTGCTAATAGTATTATATTTAGATGTTGTATCAATTAATGCTTTTACTAGGATTTTTTCTTCTACAAGTGTATTGATAAACATGTTAAATATGTTTAATGATGTATATTATAACCAAAAAATAATATTTATTCTGAATTTTATTATGTATTAATATAATAAATAATAGCAAAGCTGTATCAGGGTACATATTACGATATGATATTGACAATGAATAAAACTACATTGGAAAATAATCATAAATCTCGAAATGGTAATAGTGTAATATCTCACATTATTAAACAAGTATCAAATAAAAAAATTCAGATCTCTTTCTGTTAATTACTAAAAATAGTAAAACTCGAGATTCGACAGGATATTATAAACTCGATAGCAAACCCAGATATTTCTCAGAGAAATCATATACTATCTGAGGCTAAAAGAAAAAAAACAATTTTTAATGATACCACATCTGAGTCCTTGTCTGAATCTGGGTCCAGCTCTGAATCCTTTTATGATAATGAAGATTTTACTATAGATATGGTAAAAGTGAAGAAGTGCAATTAATCTTGATCATAGATATGAAATCATCTTGCTTGCTTATAAGGAACGCCTTTTTTTCTATAATTGACTACAATATAATTTTGCACAGGAGAAGTATGATTATCAGATGAATGACGTAGACATTCTCCAGCAATTGTATAAGCATGGGCCATATTCTTAGCCTCATGTGCTTCTACACCATAACTGCTCCTAATTTACGTAAATATTTAGAAATTAAATCATAATCTTTTAAGAATTTATTGAACCATTTAACTCCTGGCTTATCTGGATCACCCATTCGTTCAGATGATATAGCATGCTGAATCCAAGTGAGTAGTTCTTTGGCTCATTCTTGATTCTTTTCCATCGATCTAAATTTTCTGGGAATATCTGACTGACCTCGATTCTTTGCATATCCTGTCACTCCAGCATCTGTAATGTGTAAAGTTTTAAGTTCAGCAGGACGAATACAAAGCATTACCATAACATCAGCAAGAGCCTGACAATCAGATAAAGTTTTAATATCATATGCATCTAATCTTTCTTTGACTGATTCTAATGTAAATTCATCTGGATAATCAATACATTTAGCTTTAGCTTTTTTTCGATTGACACTCTGGATTTTGTTGGCATCTTCTGTAATATCTGGAAATTTTGTAACCTCAATTATCTCAAGTGATGCATTAAGGTTTCTTAATTCTCTACGAAGACGAGTGAGACGTGATGAGCCAGCATTAGCATTTTTTGCTAATAGGGCTAAGGCATAAGCTTCAGCTCTTACATCTCTAATAGTAAGTTTATTTTGTAAAATCTGTTGTGCCATCTCTCCAATAGTTTCCTCTATTCTTTTTGAGGGTTTGTTGGAAATTGCAATATTTAAGGTTTTACCAGAGGCACTTTCACAATAGGTATTTTCACATTGGTCATTTTTCTGAATAGAGAATAAGTCATTCACTTGATTCTCACTAAACCCATATCTATTTTGCAAGATTCGTTTTGTTATCTCTCTAATGATTTCTTCTTCCAAATCTTTGGGGGGTGAAGCTATAGCTATTTTGCAACTGCCCTCAATAACATTTATAATCTTGCCTTTCTCGCTTCTCTGATTAGGTATCAATATACTTACCTGTTTATCACTAAATTTAAAGCCATCCCAAAGACGTCTTCGAGCCTGATTCCTTTTTCTATCATCTGTAAGGTTTTTGAGAAACTCAGAGGTATATTGACTAAGTTCAAATATATCCATATTTGGAGTAAGTTTATATTTTTCAATGATTTTAGTTGCGATAGTTGACATGATTGAATGTTATAATAGGTCAGATAGTTTATGAACAATTCTTTAGGTTATATACATTATGGAAAATATCTTTTCAAATCAAAATTAATCATGCTTTTTTCCTCATATACTCAGAAAAAAGAGAGTTTATGTCTACCTACAGGGTAACCGGGATGTCGATTTGAAATTTACTATTATATGGGATATAATAAAAAAATATAGCCTAGAGATAGAGGTCCAGGTTATATTAAGATTTATGATTCATTTTTCTATTATTTAGTACACCTATCCAAATAAATTCTGGCATGATTCAACAGTTATAAGATATTTGTAATATATGTCTGGTCTGTTTTGTAATATTTCAGGTGGTGGTATTACTGCTGGCTTCCATATATTAAATAAAAAGGTTGTGTGATCGGAATAACCATAATCGATATGTTTAGATATTTCTGAGTAATTTGATAAATCACTAATATGTTTATATCCATTGCAAATTAATTTTCAGAATGTTGAGCCATTTATGTTTATCATCTGGTCAGTTAATAAGTTGAGCACTTTTTCTGAAGTTTCCAATTCTTGATCGTTCATTTTGTTTATAGTATTTATATATATATATATATATAGCACATAAAGTGTACGTAGTTTTTGTAATATTTTTATTAGAAAATTTTATATTAGCTAGTTTGTAGAAGCAAAAAACCCCCTATATTGAAGCTCCTACCTGCAAAATTTACCTTATTCGCTCCTTATTTTATATACATATAGGATGCAAAGCATCTTCTGCTTCGCAGACTTACCATAGCATACCATTTGCCTAGAGTATGCTCACTGTTTTTTTCTATTCCTCGTCAGTATCCAGCCATGATGAGGTGATTTCATCTTCCTCGAAAGAATGGCGAATTATTTCTTCACTTATTAATCTTTCTCGCACTGTCATATCCATATATTTACTGGGGTCTTCTTCAGCCTCCTTTGCAAAACTACACATTCTCGCATTAGTCTGCATTCTATCGTGGAATGCTATGAAATCGAGCTTATCTTTTTTAGTAATAGTAACAAATTTGTCAGGATCTTCACCAAGTTTGATGGCTTTTTTACGAAGATGTGCTTCTCATTGCTTCCAGGCTAAATAGCCAGATGGACATGTTTCCAATTGGGTGTTGACTTCTTCATTGCTAGATTTTAGTTCGTCATTCGCAGGTAAGTCGGGAGATATCTCGGGCTTATTATTTACAGATTCAGCTTCATCACTCACTAATTTGATAATTTTCAGAGATTTGGATTTATTGTCTATAACTTCTACGTCTACGATCTTGGGAGGCAGAGATATATCGATAGACTTGGATGATGAAGCAACTGAAGATTCTGATTGATCTGTTATAGAATCAAAGAGGTCTTGGATCATTTTAGTAATAGGTGGGGCAGATACTATTTTCTTACCTTTTTTGATATGATCAGTGATTAATGTCTTAGCTATATTTTTTTCTGATTCGGCTTTAACAATTTCAGGTGTGTTAAATACAGGGATCTCTGTGGATATGTTGGTGGATATTTCAGCATGAGGTGTGTCAGAAAATTCCTCGATATCACCTACTGATTCACGTAGCTTGGCCATGATTTTGGAACGATCGAAGATATACTGCCATTCTCTTTTTCCACCACTAGCACGTTTTCGTTCAATGTTAACTTGTGAGATTTTTTTCCCAAAATTATTATTACTGAATGGCTTTTCATCATTAGCTTCACACCATGTATGATACTTCTGATATAATATAGCACAACTCGGTTTTTCAATTTGATCTTTTGACTATACCGAAATATGATCAATTATGAATCAGATGGGATTTGGGAGATGCTCATGCATCGTCTCTGTTTTCATTTTAGTGGTAGGAATATTTTCTTATAGATTCCAATTCAAAAGGTCTTGATCAAATAAATAGCTCATAAAAGATCCAGGTGTATCAGGATGGTTGAGAATTTTTCTCAACTGACTGAAATATTTAAAATTACCTTTACATCGAGGTGAAATATCTAAACATACAATACGACCATCTTCTTGCTTAACACAAATTAGGGCATCATAATTACTTAATACTATAAATCCAGGAAAATGGCCACATTCTTGATTTTCGAGACCTTTATGCTCAATTGAGACGTAATCTTCTGTAATTAGAGATTTTAAGTGATCGTTTAACTTATGCCATTCTCCACTTAACATACCTGCTTCATTCATAATTATAAGTTTATGTCCTTGAATACTACTGTTGAATTTTTCCAAAATTTTGCCTAAATCGGACGTTGAATATACAAGCTCTGGACTGAATAAACTTTTTCGAATAAAATCAGTAATAATATTTTTTCCACATCGTGGGGTGAACGCAAAACAAGAATTGTTCCTGAAATTATTGCTGGATACTGAACTAAAAATGCTAACCATTTGAGAACGTATGTAGAAAGAACTTTATTCCTATCATATCAGATATTTTCTATATGCCATATAATCAGGTTCACAAGATTGTAATTAATTCGAAGTGCTGGTTTAGCCTTGAATCCTAAGAAAAGATTGAAGAATTCATTTTTTGGTTGTTCGATATTAGGTGGATATGGTAAGAAATCAATATCATCATAAATAATCACCTTTGTGTCATATATACGATCTATCAAAGAAATTAATTTTATTGGTTCTCCTCTAAGTTCTACTATATTAATAGTTATTTTACCAAAATCAAGAGTAGGTGCCATAGCAAAGTATAATCTACCATCCAGTTTTCTGTGTTTAAGAATCTATGTTCATTTATCTTTTACCACGCAAGCAAGTGTAGCCTGGATTGCATTATATACTTCATTCTGAGTAAAATTTTTCTTAGAAGTGCACATACGAATTAAATCACCCCATACAAAGTGGTTATTTGAATCTGAGATTCTGGGTCACTCTATTTTTTCTGGAGATGGAAGACTATTTTCCCGTTCTAAGACCGATACATTCAAAGTAAGTTTTAATGAGGGTTTTTTTGTGCCTATTTGCATTTCTTGATCTGCTCGATGGCAATAATATTGATAAGTTTTCTTATTTCAGATTACATATGCATTATCACTAGTATGCTCCCAATTACAGAGTGGGCATTGAGATTCTGCTACGCGATTTAGGGGGAATACATTTGAAAGTGTTGGTGAAGAATATAAAACTTCAAAACCTTCGATTTTATACTCCTCAAGTAATTTTTCTATATATTCTACTTCAGATCCAATTGTCCCAGCATCAATTTTATTATCTTGTAATGGGTCTTTGACCCTATTTTTTTCTTTCAGAATATCTAAAATAGGACTATCTATAACTGGCGCTTCATCATTAGGAGAACGAAGCATAAAATCAAAAACATTCCTATTTTTGGAACCTAATGCTTTCTTTACACGTATGTGTTCTTCTGTCTCTTTAATAAATTTTGGTGTTCCAAGTATTCATAATGAAAATGATCTTTTATTTGCAATATTGTTAACAATTCCTTTGTCTTGTAAACCCATTGGAAGTTTCTCATGAACGAGTTTGGTAAATACTGTGACTTTGGCAATATTCTTCAGATGCATTCCAAATGTTGAGATATGATAAGACATTTTTTTTGAATCGCTACTACTGGCAATAGTGATAGTAGTTTTGTTCTATTCTGGAAATATATTCAAACAAGTTTTTGTAAAAGCATTATAAAGTGTATTTTTTATCTCTTTAGGTGTAAACTTGGGTTCGATTTTATCAAATTTTTCTCTTGGTAAATCAAAATTAATAATAGGACAAAGTGGATTATCTCTATCAATAAATTTATGCAACGAATAATCCTGATGATCTGTAAGTATAGCTTCTATTCCATCTTTAGAATCTGTTCCGAAAAATTCTCTAGGTCTCATGCTATCATCCCAGATCTTGTATGGATATTCAGCTACACTCTCGGCTTTAAACCCCCAGCGGTAGAACGCCCTGTTATTTTCTGCCTCTAACTCTGACTTGAAATTTTGGTTTTCTACAGTTGGTATATTAGATGATACAGGTACAATAGGCATGCTATGTTCACTTTGGGTACTCATGTTTTTTCTGAAAATATAATATTCAGAATTAAAAAGTTCAAAATGAAAATTAATTCTAAATAATATTGATCAGTACATATTATATACTCAATCAAGATAAATATCAAAAAGAATAGCATTTTATTGTTGTCCCTATATTCTTAGAACTGGAGAAGTTTGTAATCAGCCATGTTACCATCCCAATGGGTGCAAAGTTTACCGGGATTCACCTATTCGTTATCCTTGCAAAGAATATGATTGTGTTAAGTTAACTTATTCCGATTATGGTTATTGTAACCCCCATGCACAGAAACATCATAGAAAAGAGTATAATCATCAGAAGAAGCTGGAGAAGATGACACAAGGCAGGAATCAGAGATTTGATCATCCGGAGTAAAGGAAAATTAATATATATGTGTGTGGTATGCAGGATACCTATATTTTCGAAGTTCCAACTGGGATGAATTTTTTTCTAGGACAAAAGTTAGGATAGAAAAAAATATACCTGCCAGTAATTTCAAGGCGAATGAAAGAGTTTTAGACTACCTGTCCCAGTTGTTCTAGTTGTCCTAGTAAAATCTTGATTTTATTACCTTTTTTTCTTTTTTTATCTATAGGTATACAAAGTATATTATATGTATATAGAATGTATATAATGTATATATCATTATGTATAGTATAAATGTATCATGAGTAGATAAATTTTATTTTTCCTAAATTATTACTTTTTACTAGGACAACTAGGACGAATATATAATAAATATAAAAGAACAAGATAAAAATATATTTTAAATCTTTCTCCTATATCGAATCCATCCCAGTTACCATTTTTTTACTAAGACAAAACCAGGACAGATTTTTTATTAGGACACGAGCAAATCAATTTTAACCACATTCTAGAGTAGCAAACATCTTTTTTTGAGATGTATAACTTCGGTAATATTATATAATAGTTATGGGAGTTATATACCTGCCTTCCTATAATTATTAGTTAAAGTTAACCTGCCTTTTTACTACATATGTTCTCGAATATATTTCTGGTATCAAAAAATCCAGCAATCAAAATCGGCATACTTTAATATAACATACTCGATAGCATTTTTTGATAGCATTGTGGAATAGCATTTATGTGATATAGTTAGCATACATATTTGATAGCATTAATCAATAGCATAACCAGATAGCATGTATATAACATACGTGATAGCAATTACGCAATGTATATTGATGGCATTCCCCGATAACATTTACAATGTATGTATCGGACCCTTTAGGGGTAACTCTTTGAGGCATAGCAATTGCACATACATGTTTGATAGCATACCTGATAGCATTAGCCCTCACAATAACGATATATAATTGGTTGTATCGTCAGATATATTTTTTTGCCTATGTGAGCCAACTGGCCATGACTACTAAGCTGGCATATATTATATTGCATGTGATGACGTGAACATAAAATTATCATCATATTTTTTATAGATTGTAAGATATCTAAGTATGACGATGTGAACACAAATATGTCGTCATATTTTTTATAGATCATGGGTACCTAAGTGTGATGATGAACTCGTGAACCAATCATCACTCGAATAACAATGCAAGCGTGAATCATTCCTCACTCGAATGATAGAGTGAATACTAATATATCTCTGATGACAGTGACACATTTCTGTCATCAAAACACTGACAATGGTGATGCATTTCCATCGTTATACCTGAGTAGGAATAACCTAGACTAAGTTAAAATAACATAATTATGTTATTTCCACTGCTGCAAGCAATCGAGGAATTCCAACCCAAATGGCAAGAAGACTCAAGAAAGTATGACCACTCTTTCTTTATATATCAAGAGCTATTATCACAGGGACGATCAAGCAATAAAATAACTGCCAGACATCTAATGCATAGTATGCATAAGATAAGTGCCAGGAAAATATCATGGGCCAGAAAAACATAATAATTTGTATATAACAATACATAGCATGAGTGATGATTAGGACCTATAGATCATACAGGCATTTCGACCCCTGCCAAAAACACAAAACAAAGTGGTTGTACTCAATTCAGGAAGGCATTACATCATGACGGCGATGTTTCAAAGTGGCAAAATCTGAAGTAATAAAGGAGTAGGTTAGTATGGTTGCAATAGAATAAGGTAAAAATAAAACTATTAAGAAAACAATACTTACTCATTTAAGTGAAATCCATGATAGCACAATTGTAAGAAGACAGAACTGTAGAAAAATAGAAGAGCAAACTAAAGTTAAAAAAAAAATTGTTAGTAATGCAAAATATATAAAAAGCCAAAAGAAAATGTAATAAAAAAAAAAACTTATCACTTGAGTGTCTTAACTAGCGAAAAGAAGGACCAAAGTTCCTTAGTAATAGTAGTAAATAGTAGTAGCTAGTGTAATTAAATAGAGAAACTTAAGTACAATAAACATAAATAAATAAAAGTAAATATTTGTCCAAATCAATCCATACCTTAAAGCCTTATTTTCACTGATTTTGTAACATTATGAGATGTCTGGTTAGTAAAAGCAACAGACTTGCTATTTACTCATCACACTATTTAAGAAGTCTGTCTGAAGGTTTTCTACCAATTGCCATATCTAATATTCCTATTTGAATATTTTACTTTAAACTCTCTAAAGCTGTAATCTGTGTTAACTTACTAGGTTATATCCAGATGCTCAGATCATCATCTTAACCTTAAAACTATTTTATCTTCAAGATAAACTTTTTAGAGTCTTCTGTACCTATTTTTATAACTAACCTAATACTTGCAGTCAAAGCTTAATCATTAAACTGCTATGCTTTTGTAAAGTTCACTCAAACTCTAGTATATACTTCATAGCATAATCTTAGTACTTTTGTATATCTATAAATTTTATCAGATTCCTAATTCAGATAACCTGTATAAAACTATGACCAGTTTGTTAATATTTGGTTGGCCTAATATTCTTTTCTTCTGGTAGTCTGGTTGGTGATATTTTCAAGACTTCTAATTTGAAGGTTCTTGCATGTCTAGTTACTAAGACCTTGGTATACATTTTTTTAGACTAGTCTTTACAGTAATAACATTAAAGATCTTGCTACTTCTTTACTTGGTTTTTTTTAAATAAACTTCTTGTTATTCAATTTTAACAGATTTATATGGCTACAAGAACTTATCTAGTATTTGTATCACTTAGTTGTCAGTTTGCATTTATTTGTATAACTCCAACATTATACAAATGCCCTATAATCTACTAGTTATGCTAGTATAACTGTCATTACAGATATTCAAACTTAATCATTAATAACAGTTGTCATAATATAAATATTATATAAATGATTATTCAAATTTTCATCATTGATAAAATTTGAACATTTAACCTACTACTTAAGAGGTTGACAACCTAACTACTTCATTAGGTTAACACATCTCTTTTATAATAATTTATAGAATTACATTATTAAAAAAGTTATTAATAAAAGTTAAGATTATCTTAATATCAAAAAAAATTTAATTAATAAAAAAAAACAGAAAAAGAAATATAACAACTTAGTAAAGTGAATAAGTTATTAACTTTTTAAGTAGTAAATTAGATGTTTAATTCTTATCAACAGTAAAAATTTAGATAATCACCTATATAATACTTATATTATAATAATTATTTCTAATAATTAAATTAAGATATCTGTAATAACAATTGTACTAGCATGACTGGCAAATTATGTAGCATTTGTATAATTGGTTATATAGAAAAATACAAACTGGCATTAGATGATGCAAATTCTAAATAAGTTTTTGTAACTGTATAAATTATAGAAATTAAAAAACAAAAAATTTATTTAAAAAAATTTAAGTAAAAAGATAATATAGATCTTTAACAGTGTTATTATAAAAGCTAAATCTAGAAAACAAATATCAATATTAAAGTATTCAAATAGGCAAACTCTTTAGATAAAGAGTACTACCAACTAGACTGCCAAAATAAACTAGAAAAAAATAATATTGGACTAATCCAATATATCAATAGACTGCATATAATTTTATATAGCCTATCATTAACAAATTTTTAAGCAGATTTATATTAATACATATATAGCATTTAATCAATATATATCAATTAAAAAAAATTACTATATATAGATTAAATTGTTATATATTAATATATATTACTAATAATATATAATAATTATTGATATATAATAATTATAAGTGATTATAATTACTATTAATTAGTAACAATTTTTATAAATTTTGTTAAATATCATTACAAATTACTAATAATAATACTCAACAAGAGTGCTATATATCAATAGTAATTTAAAGATTATTAACAATATATATTATTTTTTAAAATTTTTTTGATGAACTGGATTAAAAGTCTAAAAAACAGACAAGAGTATACTAAAGTATTAGAAATATGTTATAAAGTAGATATTAGAATTTGAGTAAACTTTACAAAAACATAGCAGTTAATAATATAACTTTGATCACAAATATTAGTTCAGTTATAGTAATATCTAGATTAGCTATAAAAATAAATACAGAAGGTTTATCTTAAGAATAAAATAGTTCTAAAGTTGAGACAATGACCTAAATATAACTTAGTAATATTAATACAAATTTAGGTTCAAAAGGTTTAAAATAGAATATTTAAACAAAATGTTAGCTATGATAATTGATAAAAAGTTTTTGAATAGACTTCTTAAATAGATAATATAAAAAAATAATATATATAGCCAATTGTACACTTTTTCTATAATAATTAATAAAATCACATTATTAAAAAAATTATTAATAAAAGTTAAAAGACCAAAAAGATTACTTTTTTTAAAAAAAAATATAT